TGTAAGAGTGCAGTACACCTAATTTTTCTTAATGTTTTAATATTTACAAATATTTGTTTTATTAAGGGTTTCTACCAATTATGTTAATATTTTTACTAGGTATCTCAAGAGCATCTACAAAGGATAATTTATGAAGCCTAAATCTTCACAATGTTATTAAGAGAGGTTTACATGTTTGTTATCTGAAGTGAAAAAAACTGCTGTTGATTTTCTATGAAAACATGATCTTTTAGAAGAAGCTGAAGATGCAGAATTCTGTCATTGGTATGGTAGTGAAATGCAGGAAAAGTTTGGAAGAGATAAAGGTGAAGAAAGCAAATCAGCCTTATTGGCTCCAGAAAATCTGCCATGGCACGCGAGCTGCTTGATGATATTTTTTTTTCATTACATAGATATAAATTAGAGGATTAATACCAATCCGATTCTATGTGAAATCCTGTAGCTTGTGCTGTTTCTTGTTGAGAAGATCCCTACGGATACTGCGGCTAGACTTTCAGACAAACTGCAAAATACCATTTATGACAGGTTTAATATGTACCGTGAAATATGCAGTTCCATTGTGACAGCAATACCTCAGATGCACGGTTCTGAGGAGAGTCCCATGCAAATAGGCGAAGGCTGATGTCCCAGAAAGTATAATTCAGGCCAAATTCTAAGGGGCATCCATAGGTAAAGTAACCACATTTTCATTGAGACAAAGCGGGACAAATGGAATGAAATGAGAATTGTAATTTAGTTATGAAAGCAGACCAATAATTTAAAAAAGAATACATTTTATTGTATACATTCATATACTTGTCTATAAATATACAAAAATATATTTATTATTAACTATTGGTAACTAAAAATATTTGTAAAAAACTATAATTTGAATATTATGCTTTTTAATTAATTTAAAATTTTATTTAAAAAAAATTATGATTTTCTTTCACAGTCATATTTTTTGGGGAAAGTGCAGAATCGCCCACTGTTTGGCATGTTTTTAAGAATAGCACATACTCGATATTCATGTACATGTCGACCTATTTTCACTTAAAAAAACATCCCAGAATTGCACAAAAATGGCATTCTGCACTCCCTTTATTCAAGTACACATCGACCTATTTTCACTTTAAAAGTCAAAGAAAATTGACAAAAACCCAATTCTTTTTACTCTTGTAAAAAGTGAGAAACAAATACGTTGGCAGTTCTGCACTTTAGCCTATTTTTTTATCCGAATGAATACTTTGCAATAGATTTGGATCATTTATTAAAATGTCATGAAATTTCTCACATGAATTGATCAAATTATATTTTATCCTAAATACAGATTTTAAAATTCTAATGTTGAACTGCATTTTTTCAATTGTCCATATTTTATTGATACTAGAAAAAACACATTTTGTTGCTGCATTTGTTCCTGGAAGGGAGACCACGTGTTCTACAATTTTTAAAATATTTTCACTTTTTAATATTTCATATATTCATTCATAATAATTATTCTGTTTAAAATGAAGGAATAACTCCATCCATTTTTTGTCTGTTTCCACATTTGCAAACAACCAACATTTAATTTTTTTCTTCAGTAACATATCTTTTGACCAATGACACCTTATCAAAAAGATCTTTTTCGCAAATATTAAAAATATATTAAAAATTATATGTTAAAAAGATTTTTCCACATATTCCCATAAAATCTCCTTTTTTAATGTCACCCAATTCTTTTATATTTGATTTATGCGCTTTCAAATAATTTCAACACGCACAGTATATATATAAAAATACGAATACATTTTTGCAATAATATTTTCAAGATCCACTCGAAGTAAGTCAGATGCTGTTTGAATAGTATTGTGTAGAATGTGCGCTGCACAACCTACTCCAATAATTTTTTGGTTCAAATATTCGTTAAATTTCATAAAAATGTAATTGATGCCTTTTCTAGCTTTTCCAGCAAAATTTTCGTTAGTGTTATCCTCACAATAGGCAATAATTTTATTGTTTAATTTTTTTTAAATAGTACTTAATTTATTTATGAAGTTTCACCCGGCAATGAAATAAAATCTAATATTCTAAATTTGATTCCTGTTTCTGGATCAAAAAGTCTAACAATTGTGGAAAATAATTTTAAATATTTGTGGTTGGAAGCATCATAATAGGCTCTAGTGTAGAATTGGGTGCCCCTTTGATTAGCAGCATTTTTTTTTTTTTAATTTTGGCGATGAAACCTCACTTCTGGTTACCATAATAGTTTTAACTTTGTTTTAGCTTCCTGATTTTATTTAAATGAAAATAGGTCGATGTGTACATGGATAAAGTCAAGACAGTGCGCAATGCCATTTTTGTGCAATTCTAGGATGTTTTTTTAAGTGAAAACAGATCGATGTGTACATGGACACAGAGTTTGTGCAATTCTTTGACTTCTTATTTTGGTTTTGTGTAGCAGCCATCTTGAAATTGTGCTTTCCTGGCGTCAAGAAAGAATCGCCAGAAAACAAGGGGCACCCAATTGTAAACTTTTACCTCATAATATATGGATATAAATGTGCATTTAATCTAATTCTTTCTACAATTGTGAAAACGAATATGGTGGAAAACATTACAAATAATTGTTTCGGATTTTGTCCTTGCACGTGCAAATATTTTGTCGTACAACGTTTTGATCATTTGCGACATACAATCAATTGATCTGAAACTTTGATTGTGGTTTATTGTGTGAAAAGCAAATAGCCCTTCAGCTAATGCTAGCTGTTCCTCCGTTAACAATACATATTCCTTGATGAGACATAACGACAATGAATGAACACCACCAAGTAAATCTAACTCGTTACATTCCCTAAATAGTTTACTCTCCATGCATTTTATGTGGTTTCTTATTTCTTTATATTTACTATAATAATTAATAAATAATAGGTAATATATTTTTACAGTAGATTTAAAATAAGAAATGCAGATGTTTTCTAAAAAGCGTGACATTTTAAAAAATCGGCAGGACACAGGACAGTCCTCCAAAAAGCAGGGCTGTCCCTCCAAAATTGGGACATGTGGTCACTTTATCCATAGAGATTTTAGTCTAAATAACGGTTGGGATTATTGATACTTTTATGCACAACAAGAAGACAGAGCTACCTAATACTAATAGTGTGAAGCTGCCACTAGATCAGTTATACTTTTTGATAATGACCACTCTATGCAAATTTAACAGAATTTGGTTACTATCATCTAATTGTTAATCATCAAGAAAATTATGTCAATCCAACAACAGGGCCACATCCACCATTGATTGAAAGATCTTGGCTTCATGCAAAAGTGCAGATATTAAAGAAAATGAGAGGTGTACCAAATGAATATTTTCAAACTTGCCTACACCACTTCTATCGGAAAATGCTAAGAAAAAGAGAAAACAACCTATTCATGTTTTGTAAGAGATATAAGAACTGCATATAAATCTAAGTTAGATACTTCTTTTTAATATTACTTCCTTAATTATGTATTTTTTTTAATAAATGTCCCTTTAGATGCATATTATTGATATTAATGTAATATATGTATGAATGGTATGCTTTAGATGCATATTGAAGATATTAAAGCAATTGACTTTTTAGTAAATTTTGTAAAGAGAATTATATATTTATGTATTTTGTGCCACATTTCACCAGTGGACCACACACTGTACTAAGAACAGACCAGTGGACAACAACCTATACTGGCATAATTTTTTATGGCTGATTGACAGAATTGTTATTAAAATTCAAAACTACATAATAATATAGTATTATTATGATTAACTGGATATAGTATGAAGTCTGAGATCCAGAATTATTAGGGCTTCAGTGATTCCAGATTTTAGATGACATGAAGACATGGCAACATTGGAGCTTTATTTGTAGTTCAGGTCACATAGAAAAATGCTAATCCTTTCACAGGAGTGGCACCAGAGCAGCCACTGCAATTGCAACAGGTGGCCAAAAACTTTATAATTTACAGAATCAAGCAGAAAAATTAAGGATGATAAAATTTTAAGAACTTAGGAGAAGCACTTAGTAGCGGAGTTTAAAGGGGCACAATTTTTAGAATTTAGGGAAGTACCCCAGGAGCAGAATTTAGGATTTGTAGAGATTTAGGGATTGTACCAGACAGCAAAATGCATAGCATCAGCCCTGCTCTCCCCCACAAAAACTCAAGGGCTGAAAGTGTGATACCAGCCAAACAACAATACAAGATCAATTAATGTATTTTTAATGGCAACTGTGTCACTTCCTAGCCAGCAGCAGCGGCGTAGCGAAGGGGGTGTATGATGCCCCGGGTGCCGCTCGCAGAGGGGCACCAAATGGTCTAAAAACAAGATTTTCATCATATCACTGTGTTTTTTCGGGGGGGGGGGGGCACCAAAAAGGTATTTTGCCCTGGGCATCAGTTATGCTCCCTACTCCACTGGCCAGCAGATATTTGAAAATGACATGGAGGAATCTTAATAAGTCAGGAAAAGAATTGCATTTAAGGCACACTTGTTTACTTTTGTTGAGTATTATAGTCTCCATTCCCAGACTTCGTAAGGATAAGGGGAAAAATTTATTTATTTATTTATTTATTTGGTTGATGGTCTGCAAGTCTAGGTATTCCAGACATTGGATGTTTGGATTTTGGACTTTGTACTGTATAACAGAAAATTAGAGGAAACAATGGTACTTTCTTGTTAAAGTGGCCACAACACTTATTTACCACAATTGGCAAACTTAATCGCTTAAGTTTTAAAAGGAAAATTTCAAATACTATCAAAGATTTATTTGGTCACCACTTTAAGAAGAAAGTACCGCAAAATGTATAGGCTTCACAGCATTAGAGAAAAATTGATTAATTTTTTAAGACAGTTTGACATACAAATGATAACAGTTTGCATTAACAGTTATTACTATTCATATTAATAAGATAAAAAACTATAGTAACTTCACAGAAATGATAAAACTGGAATATGGAAAAAATAACAAACAAACTTATAACTAAATTATTAGACTGCTTACTTTTTCCCTTCATGTTCAGGTGGACTATCGGGATTATCATTCAGCAAATGATTATCTTGAAGAGCAAGTGCATCCAAATCATTTTTATTAGTAGTTGCATGATATGTCGGATGTATAATAGGTGCTTGAGGAGGAGGTTGGATAGGTGCTTGAGTATGAGGTATGACAGGTTGATTCAAAGTCTGAACAGTTTGGTTGCAATCATTTATTTTTGTAATTGTATAATCACCAAATTCCATTTTATTTCAATTGCTTCAGCATTATTGTTGCTTGGTGCTCTAAAAGTAAAACATACTACTAAATAAATACTAATAATGTTACAGATTACACTTTTTATGTATTTTTTATGCATTTTTACTAAAAACATTTTTTTAAAACAGGAATTAAAAAAAGTATTTATTCTAATCAACATTTTATTATTACTAATTCAGAAGACAAACAACAAAAATCAGCGTTATATTTACAAAATTTCCACAGGACTAGTTTCGATGGTTTTAACGAACCACCATCCTCAGCTGCAAAACCACAAATGAACAAGATAGGAAAAAATGATTAGATAGATAAGAAAGCCTGGACAAGAATAAGCAAGTGGCGTCATTTGTTGGTGAAACCAGAACTAAAACATAATTTCTTTAAAGGCCGAAGGCAAATTTGGATTGGAATTAGGATCGTTAACTAGAACAGAAAGATTTTTATGAAACAAGAGTGTGCCTTTTAGTGTGTTGAGATAATTTAAAAATTATTTAAAAGCAATAGCTATTGACAGGGGCTTTTCACCCAACATTATTAATCAAGCAGTTAAAAAATTCTCATCTCAACACACTAAAAGGCACACTCTTGTTTTAGGAGATTATAAAAATTCTGTTGTCATTCCCTTCTTTCCATCAATTAGCTATAAAGTTGCACATATTTTGCAGAAATTTAACTTTCCGGTTGTTTATTCTCCCATCAATAAAATTCCGAGTTCCATACTTAAGGACCCCATTCCGAATATGAATTCCTGGGGTATTTATAGGATTCCTTGCCAGTGTGGTTTAATTTACATTGGCCAAACTAAGAGAGCCTTAAAATTTCGCGTCAAGGAACATGAGGCATATGTTAGAAAGAAGGAAACCACTGTTGCACAACATTGTTGGTCCGAAAATCACACTTTCAATTTTTCTGCTGCCAAAATTATTCAAAAAACATCTTCCATTGGAGAACAGGATTTTCTAGAGGCATTTCACATTCGTAAAAATCTTTCTGTTCTAGTTAACGATCCTAATTCCAATCCAAATTTGCCTTCGGCCTTTAAAGAAATTATGTTTTAGTTCTGGTTTCACCAACAGATGGCGTCACTTGCTTATTCTTGTCCAGGCTTTCTTATCTTATCTAATCGTTTTTTTTCCTATCTTGTTCATTTGCGGTTTTGCAGCTGAGGGATGGTGGTTCGGTAAAACCATCGAAACTAGTCCCTGTGGAAATTTTGTAAATATAACGCTGATTTTTTGTTGTTTGTCTTCTGAATTAGTATTTATTCGGCGTGTTATTGTGTCTAATTTTATTATTATTTTATTATTTAAAATTTTATCATTAAATTTTATGAACAATAAGTTAACATGCACAAGTCTATTATAATGCCTTATAATTTTATCACAGCATAGCATTTAAATTCACACTTTAACTAATTGAACAGCCGAGAGTTTTTCTATTCTTTTACGGAAGAGAAGGGGTAAAAACTTAAAAAACTTACAACCCGTAATTAATATAAAAGTGAAATAACAAAACTGGTCTATTTTATACAAAACAGTTGAAACTTAGAATTCCTCAGAAGTTATTACTTCAAAAAAAGTAAAAATTCTTTCCAACTGAATGTTGTGAATTCATGTTGTGAAGAACCTCCAACTGCTCCTACTCAAAATTGCAGAATAAATAACTAATAATTTGAAATGTTTAACTCATAACAAAATGCTTATTTCATAATTAAATTATACTCACTTCACCGAGATGTGTGACTATTTTGGTTACAAAGCATATTTATTATTTATGTACCTAAATTATTGTACACTAGTAATACCTTTAGATAGCATTCAGCATTATAATAACATATTTTATATAACAGGTTTCACACTCTTTTTCCTACAATACTAGATTTAATTCTTTTCAAATTTACAATGTTATTTTTGTTAAATAAAATTGCTCAGAACTTGAATACTTAGAAAAACAGCAACAGTGCTATTCGACTCATCACATATCCCAAGCACTTTATATTTGACTCATATAGATTGATAAACTCAAAAATGAATAATGTAGTTGTAAAATCAGTATCTCATCTACTACCTATACTTAACAGTGCCTCAAAAGACTATGTGGAATTTTAGCTTTTGGGATATGTAATTGGTTGACTTATACAAAAACCAGTTCTTTGGAGAAAACCTGTGAAGGACATAGTTTTAAGTGAAACATTTTCATTTGTAATGCAAAATTTCTTAGCCAGCATAGCTAACCAGGATACTGGTTCCAGCAAAACTCATTTAGCAGGGAATCCTCCAATGGTAGGAGGAGGAGAAACTCACTTCTAAGTAAAATTTCTCCTAGCTTCACATGTTGTTAGATGTGATAATCCCATTAGAAGAGAAACACGCTAAAGTAAAACTTTAAATCATGCAAAACAGAAACTTTATGTTCAGCATATTCTAATCAAAACTCAATTGATTTCAAGGGCAATTGAGCATCAGTCCTCTTCGTCAGAAACAAAAAAATTTATCCCAGAATTTGTTTTGCTGCACTAGATTACTGTTTTGCCTGACCTTAAATGCTGTATTCCTTGTTCTTACGTACATTGTGAGCATGACTGCAGCAACTCATACTACCCCATAAGACATATTTTTATGAAACTTTCACTTCTGCAGCTATTTAGAATTGTTGCAAGAAATGAAAATTTGGTAATAATATATTTACCGGTGACCCATGGCGATAACTGGCGATTTTTGGTGATACATGGACACTGACTTTGTGCAATTCCTTGACTTGTTATTTTGGTTTTAATCAAACAATGAAATAACATAAAAAAGGAATTTCATCTTAGCATTACACAGATGAAATATCCACTTACCTTATTTACAAATTTTCATGTCTTCAGTTAAACAAAATTCCTTTACAGCATCCCAAAACTTCCTAAAATTATCTGAACTAGAATCTGTATACTGGTGTCGCTACATAAATTATAAAAATATTCCTTAGTGCCGGTATTATCCGACCATTCGACCATACGCATTTCCTTCCTACAAACAGGACACTTAATAATGGCTACTAAGTAAACCTTCATTTACACACCAGTCAACTAATGCTTTTTTTCTTTTTGTTCTAAATCGTACAGTAATTCAAATTAATCTTACCACATTTGACCACTTTACTGTGCAAAACACAAAATAACCAATGTATTTCCTAACTAACACACATATACACAAGCCCTAACAAGTCTTTTCCCATCATTCAAATTCACCGCAATCACACAACCAGTTGTGTCATAATAGGGTTTCCATAACATTCAACTACTCAGGTTACCATAAATGAAACAACAACTTGGAGATAAGGGAAACAACAGCTTAGCGATAATCCAAGGGGCACCCTTAACTCTATCTAAATGTTATTTCAACCACCATATTACCATATATTGCTTCAGTTCTTAGTCGTCATTTATTTTTGCAGAATTTACATCATTACAGCACTACATCATTATTTCCGTCAGCCACATGAAATATGTGTTTACATTATACAATCAAAAGTCTTTAATCCGGACCTCAAAGCTACAAACTGCGCATGCGTCAACGCATTATGCATTGATGCATGCGCATATGCATGTACACATGCGCGTTTAATGTATAATGGACGGTAAAATTATCTATTTCAGTTAATGTTGCAGATAGCGTTGTTCCTTAATCTTCTAATTGGATCCGGCTTATTATTTTTGGCAGACCGTTAGAGCAATTTTATAAAAGTAAGCTTGAAGTTTCGATTATGTCAAAAAGAATTTCCGATTCTGGAGCTGCCAAAGGATCTACAAAGCGAAAGCATGTTTCGATGTCCATCAAACAAAAAGTGGAATTGCTGAAAAAAAAAAAAAAATGGATAAAGGCATATCCTTTGTTTCTCTAACCATTGCGAAATCTGTTTATCAATTTCACGCTGTTCTGAGGGGGGGGGGACGTCGCGGCGCGTAATCAACTGGAAGTTGATCTGTCAGCACTATCCTTATCTTCAGGGCAGATGTTTTTATTTTATTCGGCTTATAATTCCTTACTAAATGTAGTATTTCATCTCGAAGTACTCCGTCTTTGATATGATTTAAATCAAATTCCTCGTCATTATAAATTTCACGAATACACATCAAATAGTTTTCTGGTTGCAATTTTCTAATTTCGACTATGCATAATGTGTGCTTTACACATGCATGCATTGAAAGAAATGTTTTATAAAGTAAACAAATAAATATTAAGCTTTTTTTTATAAATTTTGATACCCTTTAGATCATAATTGCTCTTTATTTCATAAATTAAGATTTCATATTTTTAATTTTATAATTTCTGCCATCTTACCAGATTTAAACTGATGATCTATAATCCGGAAAAATCGATAATCCGGAATCGAAGTCCCGACGAGTTCGGATTAAAGACTTTTGACTGTACATGCAAAAATAATTTTCATATACAGTATCTTTATCAAAATGCTGTTTTCTTCCATTACATTACAAATGAATGAAATTTGCCTTTAATACTTGGTACATAAAGCCACAGTTATTCTGGAAAGTTTTTAATAAAGCATACCAAATATTTCAGAACAAAGCATTTTTTACAACATTATCTACTTACGCTTAACACACAATAAATACGATTCATTTGATTAGGGCAAAGCCTCGAGAGCTATTTGCCTAAGGGAAAGGATGCCTTCGTAAAGGATTTTCTAAGGGAAGCTGGTTCATATATGGACAATAACTATGACTCCTACTAAAGAACTAAGATCATCAGTGATTACATAGAGCGAAATTAAGTTAAATGACTAAAACAGTTTTTAGTCATTTAACTTAATTCGTTAAATGACTAAAACAGTTTGGTTTTTCACTCTTTTTTGCCCCATGCACCGGTTTAATCATAGCTAGACGATCAGTCCCCACCTTTCCAAAACTTGAAAAATGCATATACATTTTTATAAATTTACATTACTTTTTAATGTGTTCTCTAAATTGAACATAAAAAAGTATAGAAAATGTTGATAAATACCAAAACTTGAATAAAAGCTGTTTTTATATTTATAAACTAAAATTTTCAAGTATATAAAAAAACTGACCACATCCCTCCCTGAAACTATGAAACCCCTCTCCCTCCCTTCTGAGGGTAAATTTCCCTGCTCGTTGAGATAACCTGGACTAAAACCTTCCTTCATATGTAGAAAAAATTAAATGACTAATATCATTCATGATATGCAGAATAAAAATATACAACTCATGTTGTTTATGTTGTGTCAAGCAAATATGTTAAAACTATTCTCATAAAAATATACGACTAGAAATATTGTTTAATAATATTGCACAGAAAAGAAAACGTGCAAATAGCAATCAGTTTTCTCTAAATGCAAAGAAATTAATGTATAAATTTCCTCAGTGATGTACGGAAAAAGACTGTTGACATGTAAGAAGAAAATATTAAATTCATTTTGAGCTAGGCTGAAGTCCGTAAGTCTGGATTTCAAATCTAAATTATCTAAAATCCAGACCTTTGGACCATCAGCAGCTGGTGCCAGATTTAGGTATAAGCTGAACAAGCTATGGCTTAGGACCCCCACTTTCTTATAAACCCAATTTTATAAAACCACATTAGTTATAAAATTATGATTTTGTCTGATTAAAATCACTGACAGCTTGCTTACAGGTGACTACAACCTTATGAAGATCAGTTTCTAATTAGTTAAAAACTAAGAGTGAAGGCACCTTAATGCAAAAATGTGACTACATTAGGAGTAGCAAATGAAAATTTTACTTGCATAGCAGTGCACTGCCATGAAAGTGCTCACATCTTTGGGAAGGTTGCTTTTTACAAGTTAGATACTGATTTTCATAAGCCTGCAAAGGTACCCTTATGAGGATTTGTGTCTTTTCGAACAGTGGCTGATTTATACTAAAAGATACCGCCTTCTTCAAGACAAGGCATTATTATGAATGGTTTCAGATTCATCGATTCTGGCTGAATTTATATACTTGTAACATGATTTAAACAAAGTTAAAAACAATAAATACTCTTATTTTACAGTACATATACACAAATAAGTTTAAACATAACATTAGCATCAGTAATTATGATATTAAATCAGAATAAAAATGTTTTACTCTATGAAAAGTCTTCACAAATCTTGAAGAACTTTGCCGGCTTTCTGGAAACGTATTACGACTGAGACCGCATTACTTAAAATTACATTAGTTAACAATGGCGGGAGATTACCTATGATAAGTTAGCAATAATATAAATTTAGAAATTCTATAATAAGCAATTAATTGAAAAGATGTCCTAATTATAATTAACGTAGGTTAGAAATAATAATGTAATTGGTCATAATTTCTCACAACAAGCCATTATTTTTCACGCAATATAACAAAGCAGCGTCAAAGGAAGCAGAATGAATTTTAAGAAAGTTTTATTACAAATCATAATGTCCTTTAATTTAAAATACTCAGATACACAAAATGATAGTCTTACCCAAATCAATACGCCAAACAACAACTACGCGAATAAAAGATTATTATAATAACTTAAATGAAAAATAATATTTCTCTAAAAATTTACATTTTTTTAAATTTAAGAAAAAGATCATGATCAACTCAAGAAAACACGATTTCGCGGTGTACCTCAGCCAGAAATCATACAACTTGCGCTCATCCAAATAAACAAGCGCTTTAATTTTTATTCACTTCACTTCGTCTGAGTTTCAATAATTTCGATCACGCCAATTGATCCCGCTTCAAGTTCTTTTTCATAGTGTTGAAATTAATTCAAACTATTATACCATTAGAGAATTCTTGCTTCATTTCACTCCCTTTCTGTAGCTGAACATTCATAATTAAACAATATTCAAACTTTTCATGGCGAAGAGACCGTTTTAAACCTGCTTTTAGCCATTTTATTTAGAATGAAGGCAAGCTAAAGTTGAATTTTATGTGTTTTTTAAAACAAACATTTTAAATATACATAAAATTAGATATAATATTCATATCTTATTCATATTTGATGCAATGAAATTGTTCTCATCCGATTTAATTTCTCGTAGGTTGTAAATTATCAGTAATTTGAATAGCAGTGTTTTAACTTTTTAAGGCAATTTTCGTAATTCACATTGTTTATAATTAACCTTCCTATTTTCTCGGAGAAACTTCAGATTTTACTTTCCAAAAATAATTGTTCATAATTTTTTTTTTTTTTTTTTTTTTTTTTTTAAATGTTAGAGAGAGCATTTGCTTAAACAATTTAACGTAACAAGATTATTTATTATTTTTTTTCGCTAATAGATTCCACAAACATCACCCGATTTCTGGTATACAAAGAATATTTCAGAAATTGTTAATTGAACAATTTATCAGAAGTCGAGTAATAAAAAGATGTTTCTACATCTTTTTTGACACTCGAGAAAAAAAAAGCAGAATACCCCCTTGAATATGAATGACAATACGAAACCGGAACTCAGTTTTTATAAATGATTAAGTGAATGAATGAAGTAGTATATAGTATTCTGATTATCATTTTTCTGCGAAGAAGCATGTAGATCAGAGAAGAATAGCAATACATTTTACCCAATAACATATATTTAAAATATTTTCAATAGGTATTTAAATAAATAATGTAAATTTTAGTTCTTTCAATCTACTGCGTAGTAAAGATCTGTAGTTGCAAATGAGGGTACTTTTCAGCCAGGAGATAAGGCGTACGTTTTTTATCGCTTTGAGAAAAGTAAATACTTTTATCTTATTCTGCATTTACTTAAAACAGTCTTGCTGCGAATGCAGTAGAACCTCTCTTGATACAGATTGTTACCGACCGTTTTGCTGTTTCCTAATCTGCTTATCGTTCACTATCAATAGTTATGGAAAACAGTTGACACAAAGTTTTATAATGCATTACCAGATCTTGAATACTCAGTCTTAGTGTGTGGGGGAAGGGGGAATATATGCCTTGAAAGGTAGATTTTATAATAAATGTTACATATGAATATCACCGTGGTAGCTGTAAGATTAATTTTAGAAGCAGGTCGCCAAATTTAAATATTTATCTGCTTTTACAGATGACATCATCTGTGAAATGGAATATGAAAGGTGTGCTTTTGGATATAACTGGTGTTTTATATGAAAGTGGACAAAAAATTGCAATTCCAGGATCTGTAGAAGCAATACAAAGGTGAAGTTTTCTTATTAAGTGCATATAAGTATGTTTAAATAAATATGTTTTCATTAATTTAAAAGATTTTAAACATAAAAGGAATTTAATAAGAGGATATTTTTAACTGTGGGGTGTAATTTAAGAGTTTATGTTCTCATTTTCTGTGAAGGGAAATTGCTTTGCTATTGTCATTCAGTGTAAATGGTCAGTCACATAAATTCAGTCTAATTGTGATTAAATAAAAAATGGTAAGTAATACGTTATGGTCACTGTTTAATATTTGTAAATACTAATGTTTAAATAATTCCAAGATTTTGGTGTCTGCTTGGCCTGATTTCTGCAAGGCAAATGGGGTACATTTCTTAAACCTCCATATTCGAGAGGCCTCCAAATTACCCAACAATATTTAAAATATATAAAGTGTAATGCATTTTTCTCCCAATTTATTGGACATTTGGCTACATTGAAAAAGTTAAGTCGGCTGGGACACTTTATGGAAGTTTTCCTAAACTGGAGACCTAGGATAACTTTATAAACTTTTTTTTTTAAAAAATTTGTATGATTACATCTTTTATAATTATTTAAGTTTCATTTTATTATTGTGCATGATCATGCATTACTGGAGATGGGATGTTTTTTGTGATCTGTTATCAATATTTTACTGTAAGTTTTAATAAATGCCTTCTGGTTTTAAAAGTGTAACACAAAATTAGATAAAAAATGCTTTTATATTGCTTCATACTTTTTATTCAGCAATGAACATCTGAATTATATTCAGATTTTTATTTTGCAGATTATATAGTCTGAAGGTGCCCTTCAGGTTTGTTACAAATGAAACACAACGAACAAGAGCTTCTTTGGTGTCAAAATTGAGATCTTTTGGTTTTACTTTATCAGAATCAGATGTGTTTTCACCAGGCGTAGCTGCTAGTCACTATGTGAAACAAATGCAGTTGAGACCTTTTTTATTAGTACATCCAAGTATGTAAGAAAGGTGTATATTAAAAAAAGTATGCATAAATATTTGAATTATGATGCTATGTTTTATATAAGGTGACATATTTGAGTTTCATCCGATTATATGGTACACATGGGATTTGGGTATTTTTGTCAACATTACGATGAGCATTAAAAGCATCATATGGGTGTTATCAGCAGTTTTCAAAATAGTCCCAAGGTTGTACCATATACTAGGATTTTACCTATGCTTATGTAAAGTACCAAAATCACATACTGAATCAATGAATGTACATTTATGTATGCTCATTCATTGATTTAGTATGTATAGTTTCAAGTGTATCTGCAGTATACTGCAGTCCAGAAAGTTATTTTTATTTTTTAAAGCTAAAGAAGTAAGTGGTTCATAAGTTATAAAATTTGCTTCAAGAGAGAATATGCAAACATTTCAAGTATTGTCTTTCCATGTCATTTGTGATCATTTATATAAATATACAGGCAAGATATGAGACCATATCATATTTATATAGTAGTGTCGGGTAAAATCCTAGTATACGGTGTAGCCTTGGCGTGATTTTGAAAATTATCACCAACACCAAAAATGACCCAAAGAACGTCTATGTATATACTATACACTATATACTAAGTATATATATGTATAACTATATATATTCTTTGAATACCCATTTACTACTCATCGTATATGCCCCGTTTTTACTGCTCATCATAAAAGTCGCCAAAAGTAGCCAAATCCCGTGTGCACTGGATACTAGGATTAAACCGTACTGTCGTCATGGGAAAGCAAAGCATGATGTTTTGTCACCTTCCTCTCCATTAAAATAATACATGATGTTAAGCAGTCCATTATCCGGAATGATCTAAAATCCGGACCTCAAAGCCACAAACTTCTTTTTTGCGCATTTGATTTTTCCTTCCATAATAGAGATTTTCACTTAAAAATTCCGATTCTTAATTTAACTTAGGCATTAAATAAAATACTTCATTATGGAAAAACAATCACGTAAGCATAAATTTGTGAGATTAATAATTTGGCTTCGTAGCTGAGTGTCTGCTTGGCATACAACTCAAACCGAAACATTCACGTATTTTATATCTCTGATACTTTCCATGGCATTTGTGATCATTTATATAAATATACATTCAAGATATGAGACCATATCATATTTATATAGTACTATCGGGTAAAATCCTAGTATACGGTGCAGCCTTGGCGCGATTTTGAAAATTATCGCCAACACCAAAAATGACTCAAAGAACGTCTATGTATATACTATACACTATATACTCTCACTATATACATAGTATATACTATGTATAACTATATATATTCTTTGAATACCCGTTTACTACTCATCGTATATGCCCCGTTTTTACTGCTCATCATAAAAGTCGCCAAAAGTAGCCAAATCCCGTGTGCACCTGATACTAGGACTAAACCATACTGTTGTCATGGGAAAGCAAAGCATAATGTTTTGTCACCTTCCATTAAAGTAATACATGATGTTAAGCAGTCCATTATCCGGAATGATCTAAAATCCAGACCTCAAAGCCACAAACTTCTTTTTTGCGCATTTGATTTTTCCTTCCATAATAGAGATTTTCACTTAAAAATTCTGATTTTTAATTTAACTTAGGCATTAAATAAAATACCTCATTATGGAAAAACAATCATGTAAGCATAAATTTGTGAGATTAATAATTTGGCTTCGTAGCTGAGTATCTGCTTGGCATACAACTCAAACCGAAACATTCACGTATTTTATATCCCTGACACTGACCTGATGAGTTATTATTTATTATATTTTGTTTTCATCACCGCATGATTATCAATACATGACAGTTTTGGTAATAACTCATGCAGTGATGTCTAAACCTTTTTCTTTTATATTAGTAATTGAATAACAAGAGTGTGGCAACCTTCAATGCTAACATTACGCTTGGCGATGATTATAGATTTTTAAATGCTCTAAGAAATGTTGACGAGGAAAAATTCAACAAAAATTTCTTTTCATATGCTAAAAATAGATTTTGGTTTTGAAGCTCATAGGCCAAAAGATTACATTTAGTGCTATTTTAATTAAGAATAACTGATAATGTTATTCACCATAAACCCAGAAGCGGCAGCAAAATATGTTGGCACCGGACAGCAGAATTTAGGGAAGATAAAATTTTTGGAATTTTTGGAAGCAATTTGGGCAAAATTAAGGGATGGGAAGTTTTTTTATAGTGCAAACTTTTTGTATTCTCGACACAGCAATTACAGGAACTTTGAATAAGAAATTATGTCTGTTTATAGAATTAAAGAGAAAGTAGTGCAAAAAACGAAGCAACTTAAAACAACTTACATTGAAAGAAATGTTAAAACAAATAAATATTAAGCTTTTTTGTGTGTGTAAATGTTGATACCCTTTAGATCAAAATTGCACTTTATTTCGTAAATTACAATTTCATATTTTTAATTGTATAATTTCTGCATGCCATCTTACCAGATTTAAATTGATGATCTAATATCCGGAAAAATCCCAAATCCGTAATCGCTGAAGTCCTGACGAGTCCGGATTTCGGACTTTGGTACTGTACTACTTTTCATTCTTTAATCATCTATTGAAGATTATTCTAAAATGCCAGAATCATATATTTTTATGTTTAAGGGAGAGAGCTATATTATTAATGTATAATATAATGTACTTTGTTGTTACTTTATATGATGCTGATATTATCTTATTTTATGTAATTTAGCAATTAAACTTTACCATATCTTGTGAATGAAACATGACTGTTTTGTTATGTATATTATTTAATCTTATCAGCCATTTCACATATGTAGGATTTGTGTTGGAATGTATTACCCAAAGGTATAGAGGTACTAATGAACTGTTTGTTAAATTATTGATTACTGTAGTAACTAAATTTATTTTCTCTTATGAACTTTCTTGAATTAGAATCAGACTTAAGATTATGAATTTGATTTATAACCTTAAATTATGGAAAATGAGGTATTCTAAGGCTGCTATCACACATTGGTTTGTTTCGGAAGAACAACTGTTTGGAACAATTTTTCTGCTTTATCGCAACAGCCAATCACCATAGATCACTTTGGGGGTTAACGCAGGGAAAACTGGTTCCCCATTACAAACAAGCTGATAGCTGATTGGTTGAAAACGAACAACTTGCAATTTTTTTGGAAAGGAAGGAAAAAGTCGCACGTCTTTCTTTCAATAGTAAAGCAGGCAGAAAAATTGTCCAAAATAGTTGTTCATGTGAAACAGACGCCGTGTGATATGGGCCTTATAGTTACACAATGAATAAAGTTAAGGAAATGTTATAAATATAAATCCTTTTTCAAAAGAAGCTCAAATAAAGCTTTAATCAACTAAAACTGCACATAAAATAGAATGCTAAATGCTACATTAGTAGCATAATTGTTTACCACAACAATTGTAACCGTTTGTAACAAGGGTCTACAATCAGGTGTAAAATTACAGAACAATGAGACTGGAACTATGAGAGCAATAAACAAATTCTAAGAGGTTATCGTCACCTTTAAATTCTATCTGTGCAGAAGAATGATCTTTTAATACATCTTGCTGAATAAGTCAGCACAGAGTTTTTTTTTATAATTAGTACCTCTACATTACTATATGTAGTTAGCAATTTAACAGTAAAAAATAACTTGCAATATCTGAGCTTAGAAAACCTTGGTTATTCTACCATATGTGGTTCTGGCAGTATCAATTATGGCACTCACTCGAATCCCATTTACTTTGACTTTAGTTATTGACCTATCAAGACAATCAGGAACAACTGAAACATGCTAGTGTATAAACGTTTGCTGTAAAACTAGTAGTACTGGGTACATCTAGTACAAAAAAAAAAAAAAAAAAAAAAAAAAAGGGGGGGGGACAGCTCTATATTTTCCATTCTACTGGACCAGTTGTTGATATTTTATTTGTGTGTTCCATGTTTCAAAAGTGCAACTTATGATATATATTAAATTCAGATATAGCATTGTTCTAACATAGGTATTTTGATATAAAAGCAGACTTCTTCTGAGATAACAAACCATTTGTTTACCATATTTTGATTCTACAACTCAAATTATGCTTAGATATGCTTACTTTTCAGTGAGATATTTACAAAAAATTTAAAAATTTATCTTGGCACATTTTTTTTTCACCTTATGCCAAAAATAGTTCACTTAACCAAACTTCTTAATTTATAGCAACCAGTTTTCCTTTTCTTTTTTCAGTAAACACAAGCAAGGAAAAGTTATCATTCATTCTTTTAAATAATTTTCAAATAATATTAAGTGTGTAAACCACATTTGGAGTTATTATTGCTTATAAAAAAATGTGACAAATTTCAAAACACACCTGTATATAAATTAACTTATATCTTATGCAATTTTGAACTAAAAAATTTTAATTTTTGCTGGTATGCTTAGATATACATTTACTTTAAGATGATGGCAAAAAGTTTATGTTATAATTCAAAAATGTTTTTGAAAAAGTTGTAAAATTTATTTAAAAATACAAATTTAAAACTTAAATTATAAAAAATGGGTGAATTTTATTTGCAATGAACCTAAATTTTGAAATGTGAAAGAAGAATAAAATAATTTTAATAAAAAAAGAGATGTTAATAAATATATACAGTTAAAAGTCTTTAATCCGGACCTCAAAGGACTTCCTGCGCATGTGCATATGTGTTTACGCGTGCGAATGGACGGTATAAGCTAAGCTAAAATTATCTAATTATCTATTTCAGTCAATGCTGCAGATTGTGTTGTTCCTTAATCTTCTAATTCGATCCGGCTTATTATTTTTTGCAGACTGTTAGAGCAATTTTATAAAAGTAAGCTTGATCTTTCGATTATGTCAAATAGAATTTTTGATTCTGGAGCTGCCAAAGGATCTACAAAGTGAAAGCATGTTTCGATATTCATCAAACAAAAAGTGGAATTGCTGCAAAAAATGGATAAAGGCATATCCTTTGTTTTTCTA